GAAACGGAAATTTGCCGCCACTTAGCGTAGCTCCTAAACGAATGGAACATTGAATTGTCTAAAATATGACCTGAGATCGGTCCCAGAAGGGCCTTCTCGTCCATTCCATTAAGTGACTACCGAAACTTTGCAATGGAAAAGTCCTGGGAACGAGAATAGCAGTCAGTCAGTCGTCAATCGTAGACCTTAGTCTTTCAATGTCACTGAAGTAACTGGGGAAAATAATAATGCTCCTTCAAACTCTTTACGAAAAGTGGTTAAACGCGGGGAAAAGGCGCCCAGAACGTGGCAAACACTGTTGCGTCAATCTCCAAACGTATCTTCCCCTTTCTCCCCTCCCCTACTATCAATATTGTCACCATCGTTTGTTTTCTCTTTGGGAATTTTTCGCACGATAGTTAGAGATGAATGAGGAAATCGGAATAGAGTGAGTCGGTCAGGATAGCGACCACGCTGCGAGTTGCCTTAAATTTGGAATATGGAGAGAAAATAGGAAATTCAGAGTGCCATAACTAGTTTCATCCGTAGTAAGTCCGGTTTAAATGCTGGAAAGTTTCTCAGATCACGATGTTTCTTAGGGGAACTCCATGTTCACGCTTTACCGCCGCTCGTGTTTTTCTGATCACGTTTTTTAAGGACATGTTTCAGATGCAGAACCGGAACAGTTGCTGCACCATCCCTTATTCATCGCCCACGACACCGGATTACGGATGTAATATAATATAAAGGCCAGTTTGCCGAGCAGATTTCGTGTATTTTCCCCACACCGGAGCGAAGGAACCTTCAGAGCAACAGTATGGAGAAGGACCAAATGAAAAAGAATAGCATCGTAATCTGTCTGCTAAAGAATTTTTTTGCCTTTAAAAGACACATAAAGGCGGGAAGTGGAGTCAGAAAGGTTGCAGAAAGGCATTCAAATGAAGAAGAAAGTTCCAGTCGCCCGCCATCTAATTTTAAGGCAACAAGGCGGATGGGGATTTGTTCTATGATAGAGGAAGAAGACAGACACCATGGGATGGCTCTTTCAGAGTTAAGAAGTCAACTTATTCTGCGCCACACTTTAGAAAAAGTGGGACTGCTGTAAATGGACTCAACTTGGAAGATCTCAAATGTACATTGATCAAATTCAACACATAAGGCGAGATCTATAGGAGTGTTTTGTACTGAGAAGAATTTCAGACTAATAATCGATGTGTTCTCTAATAATGGTTACTGAACTTGACTTAAAGACCTCAATTTTGCTTTTGCATGCTTGGGTTAACGAGCTGTTTGTATTCCAGTACAAAGTTTGTCATGTAATATAATACTCAGCTTTTTAAATCTATTTGTTGGCATTTCCAGTTAACATTGGTCGCAGCACAGTGACTTAAAAGGAACCGTCCTACTTGAATCGTACAATTGATTTCCCTGTTAGTGCCTTCTCTCTTTCCTCACTAATTGTATTGATGTATCAACAAAATAAAATAAAAAACTTTGGTCGGTTCAAATGTACTCATTGTATTTGCTGTCGAATACTGAGCCTCTTGCTGCGAACGGCTGGATGAAACGGGGACCAAGGAGACACCAACCTAGTGTCGCTATTATAACTTTTCAACTCCCATAATCGGTTAATTTCTAATTCTGCTCAGAATCGCTCCAGATTCCTTGTAGTTAGTCAAGATAATTTAAAACTATATCACATCAAAAATGAAAAAAAAAAAGAAACCACCTTCAATAACTACAATGCTTGATCATGACGATTTGCCATCATATGTTTTTTGCACGTAGCTTTTACGGCGGATATCATGCTGAAATTGTGAAGAAAATTTACATGTCAAATACCAAAGATAAACCATCAGAGATAAATGAGCAAACAGACCAGCGAGCGTCAAAAATCATTCGCAAAGATTTTCAATGGACAATTCAAAGTTCAACGTAATTTTTCACATCAGTTTTCATCGACTGTTTGGTTAATGTTTATTTTATTTCCTTGGCGACAATAGTTTAGTCATTAACGTTGACAAGAGGTCATCTTCTTTCGGCCCTATTTTTCAAAGAGCCGCAAAAACTCCGAAAAAACTCACAAGCTGCCGTCTCAATTTTGTATTCGTATCACGTCCTCAAAAAATATAGGAAGATTGTTTGTCTTATTTATGTTAATTTTATCTTCCATCGTATTTTAGATTATTATTACTTTCTATTGTTTTATTTTTATTCTATATATCATCCTCTCCACTTCCTTCATATTATCATAAATGTGATGTATCATTCAGGGTATATAGTCATGTTAATCAATCTCTTGGCCTTTCATTTATCACTTCTGCACATGTATTCCTATTGTTTTTGTAATGGAGAAAGGAATCGATAAAAAAGGAGAAAACACTCTTTTTGTGATCATGCAGAACCTCTTCTTCGGGATTTTCTCGCTCCGTGGAGTTTTCCAAGGAAAAGCCCTGGGAATGACCCTATCAATCTTGCTCAACACTAATCTCGTACCCAGATTCTACCGTGTAACTGTAACTGTAACCGCTTGACCGTGAAAGGTTTGGGCACGAGACAAGGTCTGCACGTCAATTTGCTCAGGACTGGCACATATCAAAATGATTTTCATCATTTACATTTCGAGAATATTTTTAAGCCATTCATTAAGTTATTTGTTGATACCACTTCCTACTTTGAGAGGGATGGGAAAGACACGTACTCCCATCTACTAAGACGTGAATAAGGAAACTTTCAGTTGAGGGAAAACAAAACCTCGATAATCGTTGTATTCTTCTACTTCAGGTTAGAAATTTGCTGTGTACTATGTAATTATTGATTGAGTGGGAAGGCCGGCAACAGCGATTCCTGACTTTTCGGACGGGAAAATATTTGGCTTGAGGTCATGACTTACGGAATTAGTATGAAGATAGCATTGACGCCGTCGCTGCTATTGTGTAGGGAAATAAATGGAATACTTTGTTACTATAGGTTTATGCACGATTGGGGTTAAATTGCGTCCACAGCCCGCATGATGTAAACGTAATCTCGTATTATCAACTGAGTTGATAACGTAAATTAACCACTGTTGAGAGTTTCATAGCTGGCCTATCTACATTAGCCCTCCCTCAGAGCGAATGGAAGAATTGTGAGTTGTGTGTGTGTTTGTGGTTAGAAAATGGAGCTACACTATTAGTGGGAACATGGTAACGAGAAAAACAATAATCGAATAAATTAGTTGAACGAAAATCACTTTTCGTTCGAATAATTTATTCTTGTTTCTCAGCGGGAAGCTATTCTCCATGGAACAAAGAATTGCTGTCGTTGTTTTAATAGATGTATATAAGTAGAAATATATAATATTATCTCTTTGTTTGGAGTAAAAGCAGAATTGAAGGCATTGTAGAGGCCGTTCTAGCGTACGGAAGTGTAATGCAAAAGAGTACGACATCAGAATAGCATAAAATAAAAGAAGTCGGATATGCTAACTACAGTCTTGTATTCAGCATCAAAGAAGACATCGAGAAGTTTCCTAGATATGTAAAGGAAATCGCGAAGAAAAGGCCTGGTTCCGTTCTTGAAAAACAAAAGGGAGGTCTGTCGCCATTCAAAGCCATCTATTCAAAGGCCGTCTCAGGCCACAGTTTCACTATCTGCTTTGCCACAAGTAAACTAATTTAAAAAGATCCACTTTACTCACGTCTTGGGTACCTCAACAAGACTCTTCCAATGGAAACACCGAGGTTTTTCCTTTCAGATTTATCTATGAATCTTGTGACTTACAGCTAGCTTGATTTAGCAAACTGAATCATGCAAAAGAGGCTAGAGCGAACTCAAAGCTTGTGATGTTTTCAAGGTTCAAATTATATCATTGCTTCACCGTTCCGCTTGATCTTTAGATCTTGTTAATATATATGTACGTGCTTCGATCCTTCCCAAGTTATTTAGGAAAAGTAAATAGTACAATAGTTGTTAAAAAAAAAACTTATTAGTCGTGTTTTCATCGTTAAGTAGATAAGGAAAAATTAGAAAAGTTGTCTAATGTATGTGGTATGTTAGGGGCGACAAAATGGGTATTCTTATAAATAGAAAAAGAGAGATGGTAGGTTTTTGAGCTCGGTTAAGTAATAGAGTGGACGTTTTTCGCCTTGTCACGAGCGTGGGACAAGACGAAAAACATCTTTCTCTATTTCTTTACCGAGCTCAAAACTTACCATCTCTCTTGATCTATTTACAAACATAACGCTATCGACATTGCTGATCCTAACAGTATGCAGGACGCGTGTCATAAGAACTTCGTAATAGACCTCAAACTACAAACTGTGGGATTTTCAGTCATTAACATAGTCTGTCTAGTCTGAATATACTTTGGATTACTTTATACATACTAAAAGAAATTATGTCGTTATTTACATATTCCCAAAACATTGCATTTCTCTCTCTTGCAGTCATCCCAGCTCGAGTGCAGTCACCTGTACAATCCTCGGCTTTTGCTGTTCCTTTTTTATTTCCTCCGAGCCCAATTCTTCTAAAGAAAATGAGACTGCTTTCTCAAAGTCCATCTTTATCAAACTAACAAGCTTACAGTCGATGCAACCCGCGCGGAAACCTAAAAGCAACGTAAAAGACCATTGCTTATCCCTTCATCTTTCATTTCCAAACTTCCAGGAGCACTGGATGGCACACACTGAAAAAGATCTCGGTATCTTTTTCTGGTTTATAATTTGCCCTCTCGATTAGATACGATGAATTTAGTTCACGTACACAAGTCCACCGGCTACTTCGGCCGGCGTAGAGGATCGTATGCTCTACTTTGAGCATACGCAGGAGTCGACCAGAAGCCATAAGTCAAGCCATTACGTCTGAAAACGAGGTTGTACACAACTTCGTTTTCAGGTTTTTCTTATCCCAACGGCTTTTAAAAACTATTGAATAGGTTTGGAGAGGAAAGGAGAAATATGCTATAATTACAGCCGCTATGGAGAAGTTTATGTAATTAAATTATTTAATGTACAGGAAGTGAATCCTAGGTCTAAATGAGTGTCAGAAATTACGTCAGAAGTTTCTGCAGAGATAAACACAAGGTATAGGAGTAAGACAACTGGAAAATAATTTATTTACCGAACTCTTCATTTCATAAACTGTTTATGTGGTATGTATTAAAAAAAAAAAATTCAAAAACCTTTTTAAGTTTTAAGGAGTCTTCTTCACTTTGACATCACTTGGTCACTTAACATGATCAGCGTTGAAAAAATTCAGTACATTATCTGGCAATTATGGAAAGTTTGCTAAGTTATTGGAAACATTTCACGGTCTGCAATACCAAATATGCTACAAAACAAAAAAATTGGGACAACGTCTGTTACCTCGCCGCTCATAAATCACCTCATAAAAACGTCTATAAAATAATATAACGTCTCAACAATACGCATTCGAATCTCCAATTTAAGAAGTCACACAGTTTCCAAAGGATCATTCGAAATCGACGTTTCTTTTTTGTATTTCCTAGTTGTCGCATGTGTCACGACGTCAAAAGCATTTCATTCCAAGACAAAAGGTTTACCGTGGAAATGGTTTGGTAAAGGTGACTACCAAGCAAGCAAGAGTACAAACTGGAGAGTTTCTAATTTAGTAATTTCCCTCTTTCGTTCACAAAAGAATACAAATGCCAGACTTTTTCGCTTTCTTCTTTCCTGCCTCGGCTCCATTTTCCTTCTCGTCCTTCTTATCTTTACCATCTTTCTCATCCTTATCCTTCTCATCTTTGTCATCTTCTTTGTCTTCGTCATTTTCGTTTTCTTCAGCTTGGTCTTCATCTTCATCTTCGTCTTCTTTAGCCCTCTCCTACAAGTACGACCAATAATAAGGTCATCAGTACTCGTGCCGTTAAAAAAAGTTACGCCACGCCTTGTTCCAGCTTAAAAATCAATCGATAAAAATTTCTGACCGCCAAACTAACCGTCAAGGATCCATTACGACCTACCCCTTCCAAAAGGAACTACGTGGAAGTTTTCACAACTGGGAAAGTTCAACTTTTCAGGCTCATTATCTGCATTTCATTTGAACGTCGAATTCTTATCCACCCTTGTTATTTCTCGGTTTATCAATGCCTCAAATTTTAAGTTTCTCTCAGACTGACAGTAGCTTCTGTTTTTTCTCTAGTTGTTGTTTTTTAAATCTCATTTAGATTTCATGTTGGTCTTTGAATAGACATTTTTTTTCCTGTTTACAAAACTGACTCGAATTTTGTGAAATGGCCTCCTTATACGCTTGAAGAAAAATTAAAAGCAAAACAATATTACCCACGTGAACGAGCACAACTAGTGTGTCAAGTAGAAGTAGGTCAAAATCCAATTGACATCGAAAATCTCGTGATAGATAAGCTTGCGATTTTCTCAAAATACCACCGTGTTTAAACGCTGTTTCCCTCTCAATCTTCCCCCCTACATGGGAAGATTTTCCAGGGTTAGTATCTGACTGTTCTACGTCTTTGTCACGTGAAACGACGCAATCCATGCAACTTTACGCCACTCGTGATTCGCCGCACATGATTTGCCACCCGCGATTCAGACTTCTTGTTGTTTCCAAGGTAAATGAATACTATTACCAATGAACCATTCACTTTCTCGATTCTACGGGACTAGATTACACCTGGCAACGACTAACCTTGAGAAAAAAACATAAAGAAAGGCGCAACCAACCCTCACCTTTGCTTTCTTATCCTTCTTTTTCTTGTCTTTTTTATTTCCAGGTTTCTTTTTATCAAGGTCATCTTCATCTCCTGTCTTTTCTTCTTTAGCTTTTTTCTTCTTCTTATCCTCCGTTTTTTCTTTAACCTTTTTACCTGATAAACAGAAAACAAAATGGTGAGTTTTGGACACAGATCTAAAGGAACAGAACATTTCTCATTTGTCTAAATAATATAAAGAATAAATAAATAATATCTGAGATTTTACGCGGTAAACTCTGAATCAGAGTTAACACTGAGTCAAAAGTATCTCACTTTGATTGGTAAGAAATGATCCGAGATGACGTAAATGTTTCCTTTATTTTATCTTTCCCGCCCTAAATCTCCTCATTAGAGAAAACTGCAGGCTAAGAGGGCATGGTTAAGACAACTGCAACTGGCCGTTTTCAAGCGAGAGGCGACAGTTTCAAAGCTATTTCCTGTTCTGCACATCATGAAGACCTATGACTTCTTTTTCAGAATTTGTCATTCGTAATCTCTTCCATCTTCACTCTCGTTCCTTTTTGGATTTTTCTTTCTAGTTTGGTCTTTTCTATCTCACCAACCTTATATTTCTGGTTTCCATCATGCAAAAGGCAAAAACCGACGTTTTTCACTTAAAATCGTGACGAAGTTCCAATGAGAGAATACTAGCACACTATGACCAAGAAAATATTCTTACCTTTCTTAGTATCTTTATCTTCATCTTGTTCTATGTCCTCATCATCCTCATCTTCTTCTTCTTCACTTTCCTCTTCAGTCTCTTGTCGTTTCTTAGAATCCGCCTTCTTGTTTTTCTCTATTGAGTCTATTTTCTTGCCAGACTCTTCCACCTGTTTCTTATTTTTACTCGGTCCCTCTTGCTCCTCGTCATTCTTATCATGATCGTCATCTTCTTCTTCGTCACTTTCCTCTTCTTCAGAATCTTCTTCTTCCTCTTCTTCCTCTTCTTCGTCTTCCTTCTTTTTATCAACCTTTCCAACTTCAATTTTCTTTCCAACAACTTTAAGTTGTTCACGCTTCTCGGGCTTATTAGCCTCCTCTGTACTTTCCTCGCCCTCTTCGTCACTATCTTCTTCTTCTTCATCAGATTCCTCGTCTTCGCCGTCTTCCTTAGAAGGAGCCTTCTCTTTCTTGTCATCTTTAGCAGCCGTTTCTACTTGCGTCTTTGTTTCTGTCGCTTTCTTTCTGTCGGAGGAATCTTCCTCTTCGCTGCCGCTTTCGTCTTCCTCTAAGTCCTCAGATTCTTCCTCAGCTTTCTTTTTACCATCTTCTTTCTTTTCCTGCTTACGACTCGAAGTTTTGTCAGCCTTTTGCCTATCATGTTGCTCATCTTCATCTTCGCTTTCAGAAATGCCAGACGAGCTTTCCGAGTGGCTTGTCCTTTTAGCTGCTTTACTCGCCTGCATAGAGAAACAATATAAATCAACCGCTTACAATAAATTCATCCTCATTAAAAGATTTCATTTCCGAAAGAAACAATTGCACATGTATATCAATACAAATAAGGATATCAAAAAACTAAAAAAACTACAATATCCTTCCGATGCTAACAAGAGTAACCAAATACCTTCGACTCTTTGCTGCCAGATATCTTTTGAATTTTGCCTTCATCTTTTCTCTTCTCCTTTTCTGCTGTTGACGGTTCAAAGAAAGTTTGATTTAAACAACATCTCATTGCACTACATGGAGACTTAAAACCTTTGATGTGCAGTAAAGTGTCTGATAAACAAAAACCCACCTTCTCTCGATATTTGAGGTAACATAGACATGTCTAGAGGATTAACAGCCATTTTTTCATCTTTGGAAACCTCATTCTTCAAAGCCGGTAATGTTCGTAAAAGAGGAGGTAGGGCGGACTTGTTAATTGGAGGCAGAGAGCCTCCCACTGAGTTACCAAGGTTCTAAACGTTAAAAGAAAAAAGGTTCGTGAGGCCTGTACAGTACACAATAATATATGTGTAAGATCATGATCTTACACTCACATTAACTGCTATGGAAGCCTAAGCCTGTGCGGCAATTTCGATCAGTGGACTGAAAAAATTTGCGTGCGAGAAACTCAACCGTTTTCTTAGCAATCACAACAACGCATTGTCGTTCGCCCCGCTCTTTCGCTGACCCTCTGCATTAAAATTTACAATTTAAACGATTTGTGATGGTAATTCATTTGCGCTCAATAAAAAAACAGTCTACAGTAGTAATCGTTAACAAAGTATTCACAAATTGATTATCTTTTGGTCACCCGTATGTATCAGTCAAAACGATACCAGAATCATCGAAAGTGATTGGTTGTGAGAAGCCCGATTTTAAACTCTAACAACTCTAATGGGACACTGTATACGTCGTGCTTGTATTTAGATAATGTAATAGAGCAGACCACGCAACGTCACCCTCATAATTGGAGAGTACACGTCATTCGCGCGCCCTGTTGTAGAATACTTGGTTTCTTTTCATGTGTAAAGAGTCAAATGTTTTAATTCTAGTTAACAGTAATTTCAAGTATGATGTCCTGACATTTTGCCATTGTTTTGACCAACTGATTACAAAACTTCGTGCCGTCCAATTATTTCTGTAATCATAGTTGCAATTGGCGAATCATACTCGCGTTTTGCAATCGTTCGAGTTTGCTAATCACTCGTCTGACTACAGGCCAAATCGGCCTCCGCACGTTCCTCTCACCATAATGTAATTATATGTCTGATGTTAACAAAGCTTCTTAAATTTTATGATGCACACTTTACCTCTAAGTTCTTCTGCCGACGTTTATTCCTCGCTGCGCCTCCTGCAGGGAAAGTGGCAGCCAGTGACGGTCCATCCACAGCATCTTGAAGACTTTTAGTTGAAGAAATGGAAGATGCAAGAATATCCTTCTCAGCCTCTGCCTCACTATCTGTACCATCACCGTTTTCAGTTGTTTTAACTGCCGCAACAAGTGTATGACACCCTCCACAGGCCACAGTTTTAACCGTAAATTGATCAAATCTAGTCACTTTTTCAAGTTTGAATAGATTGGAGAATGATTCCTCCCCCATGCCAAGTTTTCCGTGTCGTCCGTCTCCACAGGTGTAAAGGTTTCCGTGTTTTGTGACAATTGCAGTATGCGATTCACCACAGGAAACATATCGTACACATATATTTCTAAGAGAAGTCACTTGTTTAGGAGAACTGCACTCTAACAGTGAAGATCCATGACCAAGTTGACCATGGTCTCCTTGTCCAAAGGAATATAATTTTCCATTTTTTGTGACTGCTACAGTGTGATTTCCACCACATGCAACAGAGACAACCTCTTCATTTATACTAAAAAGTTTTTGTAGTTTTGATGTATTGTTAGTTTGTGACTCATCTAATCCTAGCTTTCCACTTTCATTTTCCCCACAAGTGAGCAAAGAACCATCATCTGCAGTTGAAGTAAATTAAATGTTGTTGTTATGTATGAGATAGGTTGATCCTTAGTTACATGTAGATCAACCTTTTACAACTGTTTGGAAATAACTAACCTGTCACAACAGCCATGTGATAATAGCCACAAGCCACTGACACCACTTTTCCTCTTATCTTCACTTTTGTGGGTATTGCACAACTGTCATCATCAATCTCATCACCGTGACCTATTTGTCCTTCACTGTTTGACCCCCAAGAGTACAGTTGCCCTTCTTCTGTAGAGAGGAAAACAATTAAATTTGTCTTTACAAAGTACAAGGTATTTCCTCTATTACTTAGTCATATCAGGCAGATTGCATCACAAGTTAAAAGACTATATGTGTTTGAAAACACATGCCAGCAATTAAAAAATCAAGTCCCATATCATAACCCATCTGGTCCTGCACACGCAATCCAATAGAAAAACATTAGAGTAGTTACAGCTGATGTGTCTCAAGCCAGATGAGTCAATGTGAGCCTGTCCAGAAAAAGCTGTCTGGCCCTGCTTCACTCACACAGCTCTGTTGCAAAAGCTTAGAGAAAAAGAGGAAAAGAGTCCTGTTTTTTTGATGAACTGTGTTCTGAATTGGAGAAATGAGGGATAAATTTTTATTACAGAATCCTTTTTGTGTTTGTTCCCCATATGCTCACCTATCAAGTCCAATTTAGGTTGAAACAAACTTTCCCAAATGTTCAACACTTATTGGTCACATGGTAAAATGCTAATTGACTAAGTTTGGTTGGGCTGGATGGGAAAATATTTGGCTCTCATTCATGGCATGCAGACCTTGCCAGCCAAATATCTCTGTCTGCCCCTCCCATTCAGTCAATAAGTACATGGTAATTAATAATTTTATGCAATAATTTTGTATAATTTATATAGCAGTCAACAATTTTAATCTTTGTTTGAGATAATTTGAAATAATCATGTGACAAATGAATTCTTTCCTTATGACAGAATTACAAAAAGACTCTTACACCCCCTTAATGGCAGTGTATAGAAGAATTTAAAAGTCTTACCAGTAACAGCAGCAGTAAAGTCTGACCCACAGGAAAGCAATGTATACTGCTGGTCAGGTAAAGACTCAATAGCTTTAGGAACTGGAGAACTCTACAAAACAAAACAAACCACAAACTATTTTCTTGCATTTCCTGATAATACCTAACTCTCAAAATAATATGATGTACCTGAATTCCACAAGTGTGCTTAATGGTGCATTTTTATCTTTGATTATAGCTTTGAATCAAAGCAGTTTTTTGTTTTGTTGTTTCAGACTTAAAGACAAACTAATTAAATATTTTGGGACCAACCAAAAGGCACAAACAGAAAATCTGCCAAAGTTTTCAGTTATAGTAATAACTGTAACTGCCCCTCTTATAAAGCAACAATGGTATCTATTAACCCCATTACAACAGCTTGTTTCTCTTGCCTTGACTTGCATAGAATGGTCACTTGGTTTGAAAGGGAACTACTCTTACTAATAATTTTATGAAAATTCTCTCAAGTATAGTTTATTCAAGGCTGACATCGCTATATCAAGAATTTTCAAGAAATCAATGTCACTGATATTAGCCCAATATTTCCCTCCATATTGCGCTTAATTAGTGGAGTTGTTGTTACACTTCTAGGCCACAACTGCCATCTTGGTTTACTGCTTCCCTTGAGTGAAAATCTTTTAAGAATCTAACAATGACATCCTTTTTTTTTAAGCTAGTTTTGGCTTTTTTTTCAATCCTATGTCAGCTCTATTCTGTCGAAACGATGTTTTAATTTTTTTAACCTTTTCATTCCTACAGTACCACCACTGATTTAAACATTAAGGTCATGAGTATAATAAACAATCATTGCTGAATAAAGTAGCTCTTGTTTCTCCTCATCAATACCATTAAGAAATGTACAGTAGACATTATGGAGAATATAGATCCTGATTTTTGGGTGTAAATGGTTAAGAGGTCACAAGTAAGAAGCAAGTTCTAGGGCCTTTACCTCACAGTTCCCATGACCTAGTTGTCCATCAACGCCACAACCAAAACTGTAAAGTTTTCCAGATTCTGAATGAAAAAAATCATTACTTTAGGGTTAAATGAGTAGTAATTACTTTGTATGAGGCAATATGTTCTAGCTAAAGAAGAGAATTAATGTCACATCATGAGAGTTGAAGGGCTAAGTAGTGAATGTGATATTCTAGTTTTGCTATGATTAGTAAGACAAAATTTGTGCATTCAAGTTTCATTAACATTTTATGTGTAAATGTGCTGTAAACTGTGCACTGTGCACTTACAGAGCAGTACGAAGAGTAACAGTCCTGGACCCAGCTGTTTGAAGGACGATTAACTCCAAGGTTAAATTTTAATCTAGGTTTCTTTAATTATTAATCCTTTGTTTAAAAGCTTTTTTTGCATAATTTTCTCTAATTTTTAGAACAACTAATGATCAAATGCTAGACAAAAAGAAATATAATGAATTTTATCTTAAAACTTTCAAATCTGAGATAAGATTTCACCCTAAGTCTAGATTAGCTGCACCCGGATATACAACCAAGAAAAATTCACAAGACAATCATGAAATTTCAAAATAGTATGAACAAATGTCTCTCCTGACCAGTTGATACAATTGTGTGATTCCTTCCAGCAGCAACAAGCCTAACCTTTTCTGGTTTCAAGCCTGTAGAGAAAAGTTGGACAGCAATGATATCACTGCCATTTCACCCTTTTTAGCATCCACAAGGGAGATGAGGTCATGAGAGTGATGGTTTCTACATTGGGAGGTCCTTTTTAGAGCAGAGTCTGGGTTTCTTTGTTCTTTTGGCAGAAAAACATTTAAATGATCTTGTGGATCTCTAACCAAAGAAGTGTAGGAAGGTAACAGCAAACTTTCAGTACACTAAAAAATTGCTAAGAAGCAAGGTATAACCATTTAACATCCTATCCTAGTGGGAATGCAATACTAAAATTGTTGTGTAAACCTCTCTTGCCTGTTAGAAATTAATCTCTCTCTTAATCTAATAAGTCTGTATCCAGCACAAAAGAAAAACAAAAGAAAAATGACCACATAAAAATAGAATGAGATGAGCAAATCCAGCCCCCAAATTTCAAAGTAACTTTTCCCTCTCTATACTCTTCTTTACCTCACACCAGATTGACTAAACTCCAATGGCACCCCAGCCCCCCCCCCCTCCCCAAAAAAGTACAAATACAAGATTTAGCAATGAGGTGTAAAATTCAAAAGACAGTAGTAAAGACTTAGATGTGGGAGACCTAAGGAAGGAATATGGTTAGGAGACTTTCACTGTTTTTTTGCCTCTTCTTATGATATTTTTTACGTGTTAAATTCACCATATATAAGAAATTGTTAACAATAAAATGACGGCTAGAAAGTTAAAACAATTATTCTAGAGTATATTTTTAGTATAAAAATAACAAACAAAAAGGAATATTGAATGTGTCGGTGATCAAGGATATTACTGTCATCATAAATGAAAAAACCCGATAAATTATTCATGTCAGAAGTAACTGTAATTAAAACACTTATTAAAATAGGTTACATTTAAGAGGCACAATACGCAAACATACAAATTCAAATAAAAATTGCACGCCGCTTTTCAACAACTCGCATTTCTAACGAGAACCGGGTTGTTTTCTCGTTATAGCTTTCAATTATGAAATTTAACAATCTCTCCTCCACTTTCGCAATGAGATCAATTTAATTACTCGAACTGTTCTGCAACTGCCACATTTCAAAATTTGTCATCCTTAATGTAATAAAACTTACGTTTGACAAGCTTTGGATTAGGAAACTGTACTGTGCTACCATGACCCAGCTGTCCCCAATCATTGCTTCCAAACGTGTAGAGCTTTCCATTTTCTGCGTAATAAAGTACATTGTTACCTTGAAATCAGTGTTTTCCAGTATTTTAAGGAAAGATTTCTACTTCGATCGCACAGATTGATCACTGTGTACAGCTTGTCGAATTTTAAACGCAAAAAATTAATACACTTAGAAACGGAAAAGGTGATAAGAAAACTTAACGTAGAAAAATATATTGGTCAAGGCTACCTGTAACGACGGCGGAATGCTCGTCTCCACAAGAGAGGTGGATGACTGCATCATCGCGAATCCAAAATTTGTTGTCCAAGAAACGGCTCTTGCCAAATGTAAACACCGCGCCAGAATCTGCAGCAAAGCAAAGCAAAATTTACGATTTAAATGCAAAATGTGACACACCCCTAAATAACGATTTATCAGTTGTACAGCAGTTATGGAAAAGTTTTAACCTAACAACAAAGGGAAACTAAAAAGATAAACAAACCTGGCACATCCTCGTCGTCCGACGCCATCTTGGTTTCTACGAAAAATATCTAGTATCCAATCAGCGTGTTTCATGCGTTACTCCCGCCAAAAAAAATTCGTATAGCTCGGGAACTCTCGCGAGTTTTCGTGACACGTCGGTCAATAAACCCGTCACAAAAACTGAATCAAAATGGCTTCCAATCGATTATTTCGAAGCTGCTTTCGGATTTGTTCCTCTACATCTGGAGCTATGAAAGGAAGAGAACTTTTAAATGGCCATTGCAGAATAATAGCAGCTCTTTCTTCAAAGAGGCACTGTAGTACAAGGTAAAGAGCAATTAGGGATTTTATGTTCTTCTCGTGGTCTATTGTTCCAACCTCACCTTGATGTGATCGATTAAAACATTTTTAATTTATTACAGAATTAAAAATTGTCAGTTTTAATTAGTCGATGAAAAAGAATGTGATTCCTTAACATCTCAGGTTACTATTCTGTCACACTTTAAATCTCTAACTGTATCAAGCTGTACTTTACAAGTTATTTTCAATTAATTATATTAGCCTCTTTTTAGAACAGTGATATATTATTAAGAACAATTGATTTTTGGAATCTCTTTAAAAAAAAAATGCATCTGAAAACTGGCTAGCTCTAAGAGAACTTCTACCGTTTTCCCCTTTGTTGATAATGGGTTCAGATAAGATATTCAAAGCAAATATTTTGTTGAGATTTTAGGAATAATTAACCCTTTGACTGTTGGGACCTCATAAGTAATTCTCCTTACTGTCTGCCATACAATTCTCATGACGTTAGTTTGGAGAATTTGATATTGGATCTGCTTAAAATCCCCTGAATGATACTTTCTTTATTCATATAGTATTTCTTCTTGATTTTGTATTAATATTGTGAGGAGAAATTCTGTCTTGATCACTCCTGGGGTTGATAAAATGTATTGTCTTATAAACACATTGAAGATTTGAACTCTCCATAGCCATGGGTTTCCATCTGTTGTTGGGAGGAATCTTCTTACTCTGAGAGACTTTACTAGTGATGAGATTGGATATCTTCTGTGGACTGCAGCTGATCTAAAGCAAAGAATTAAAAACGGGAATGAGGTAGGGCTATGATTGTCTTTGCTTTGTATGGCTAATGTTTTATTACTTGGATAGATTCTTTAAAGGCCATGTACCTCTCTGAAAGTCTAGATAATTTGTGGAATCAGAGCCTGCTTGATTTTTCTTTTGAAATGGTTTTTTGTATTTTTTATAGCTGTTCCTTAATAACATTCCTGGCATGTTTGTTTTTTAACTTTTTCAAAACAAGTGAATCTTGACATGCTGATGCAATCCAGTAATGCTACTGTTGGTTTCAAGGTAATTGTATATAAAGAGCCAAAATCAAGACACTCTCATTTCTCCAATAAACTTTATGTTTACTGAGCAATGATGAAAACACACAGAGCACTGATCAGTTTAGTCCATCATGAGCACTTTCCCTTTCGTTTTTATTTGATCTTCAGACTGTGCGGCTGTTGGAAGGCAAATCAGCTGCTCTTATTTTCCAGAAACGTAGCACACGAACAAGAGTTTCAACAGAAACTGGTATGTTATGGATGGATTTTTCAGCCAGAAGACTGTAATACAGGTTGCAAAGTCCTATTTAACTTTTCTTAAACTTTCAGGTCTTGCCCTTCTTGGAGGACATTCTGTATTTCTCACAGACAGTGATATTCATCTTGGAGTCAATGAATCAACTATAGACACAGCCAAGTATGTAGAGAAAATAATTAACTAAAATATCATGTTTAATATATTTACTTAACTTAATGATATTTCTTAAGTCCATTTAGCTGTTTTGGGGTCATTTATAAATAACACTGTGATAGTTTTTTAGTATATGTTCTCTCTCTTATAACTCTTTCACCCATGGGAGGGATCTGAAAGGATATTCTCCTAATATTATCAAATACATTTTAAATGGGCGAGTAACAAGAAAAAAAAAATGTGTACTAAAATTTTCAGAAATAAAATCATGAGAAATGTAAAGAAGATAGTGCAAAGAATTAATTTCATTTATTTTTAACTGCAATGAAATGGCTACAGTTAGTGATACATTGGAATGCTGATGCAATAAACCAGCCTAGAAATAAATATGTCAGGACTACTATCATTATGTTTTGTTGTCATTATTCTATCTTCCTTTTTTAATCATCGGTTATTTACAGGGTTCTTTCAGGATTCTGTGATTTTATCTTGGCAAGGGTATATGAACAGAATGATCTTGAAGTAATGGCAGAACATGCCACTATTCCAGTTATCAGGTACCTTGATTCAGGGTAATTTGGTATCATCAACTGAGTTGATAACATAAACTTAAGAGTTACAATTGGAGGAATTATGGGTTTTATGTGTGTGTTTATTTGCTGAAAGTGGAGCTGCGCTATTGGTGGAAATGTAGTAACAAGAAAAAAAAGAATAAATTATTAAAATAAAAAGTGCTTGTTGATACCATGGGGATTAAGAGTACCGATTTGAAAGATAAATTTTTGTTCTAGGAACTTACCCCCTTTATACCTAGTTGCAGGATCTAATATTAACAATCTTGTCCCTTATGCCATAGAAGTCAGTTTCTAACCTTTGACTCCATGCAATAAGTGACCAAAACAGAATTTCACCTCACAATACCGAAACAATCTCAAGCAGAAAAGTGATGAGAATAATGTTTGAAATATCCATTAGGGGATTATTAGTTGATCCAGTACAAAATTCTCTCAACTGAAATCACATGAATTGTACAGCAGACAGTAGGAAGAGTAACTAATGAGATCTTGGGGGTATTAGTCGATCCAGTACAAAATTCTCCCAACTAAAATCACATGAATTGTATGGCAGACACTAGGAAGAATAACTAACGAGATCTTGGAAGTAAAGGGGTTAAAATAATGTACCCAGTATACTTAATTTTTCTGAAGCATCTCAGTAGGTGGAATCCTCAAATCCTCAAATCTGATTGGCTAGCTTTTTACAATACAGACCATGGTCTGGAATTTCCATGCCAATATCATGTGGTTTCTCTGTTCCTCTTATGTTGCCTCCTTTTCTTTTGCTTTCACTCCTCCCACATTCCTTTCCCCTTTCTTTTTCTCATTTTTCTTCCTTAAGTTCTCATATCAATTGAATAGAGTCCAAGGTGTATAAATTTCTTTTTTTGCAGTGGTTTATCAGACATGTACCACCCTATACAGATACTTGCAGACCTTTTAACACTACAGGTAATTTTAAGTCATGAATTGTTTTTTTTTTATGACGACTCTTCCTTGGAGACACACTTCCATCTAAATTAATTAACTGAATTTTCCAGGTTCATTAAAGCCAAAGTAGGCAGTTCACATGTGGTGAAAATGTTATTATGATAGTATTGGTTTTTTTGAAGAGATTCCTGCATTGACTATATCACATTTTTTTAATTTCCAAGGAACATTTTGACAGCCTACATGGCCGCACCATTGCCTGGGTTGGAGATGGGAACAACATCACTCATTCATTTATGATGGCAGCTCCCAAATTTGGAATGCACCTGAATATTGCAACTCCAAAGGTCTAGTTAGCCTCCATAGAGATTTGTGTTCCTTGGCCACTTATAAACATAATCTGTAGCAAGTTGAAGTGAATCCTTTGATCTCAAAGAGGGACAGTTACTTATTTCTCATTACAGTATAACCCCTGATCACCCATTTACCCTTTAACTCCCATGAGTGACTAAGACAGAATTTCTCCTTACAATATCAATACAACATCAAGCAGACAAGTGATGAGAATAAGGAAAATATCAGTTTAGGCATTATTAGATGATCCAATACCAAATTCTCCAAACTAACATCACATGAACTGTATGAGAGATAATAAGGAGAATCACTAATGAGATCTTGGGAGCCTGAAAGAAGCTGTTTAGTGTTAAACAAGCTGAAATTGTTTGCAACTCAAATCGGTCAAATCTATTTTTGAGGAGATTGTGAAGTCAAATTTGAGAGTTTTGTTGAGGTAGGGTCTGAAGATGCTTTACCCTCTCCTCTCAAAGAACTTCCAATGTTGGGCATCAACAGTTTTTTGAAAGTCAAATTGCAGCCAGGTTTCATGGCAAGAATAAAGTGATGACCAGTTTATTGCCCCACCAAGTCAAGAGATATTTAAGACACCTTGTTTACCATATGTGTTCATTGATACTGTTTTTCTTTTGTATATCAGGGCTATGAGCCAGACAATGAAATCACAAAAGTTTCTCAAAGCTTTGCCCAAGAGGTAGGAATCTGTGGTCTCTCTATGATTGTTGACCATAAAAATACACAGTAATCTTTGATGATGTAGTGCCAATCCTTCTTTTTAGCACAACACATCCGTGAACTTCACAACAGATCCCAGAGAGGCATGTTCCAATGCAGATGTGATTGTCACCGACACATGGATCAGTATGGGCCAGGAAGAAGAAAAAGCAGCAAGACTCAAATCTTTTTCAGGCTTCCAAGTTGACACCAAGGTGGGCTCTAATAGTGAATGAGGTTAATGTGAAGTATTGCATATTTTCTTTTTTGCAGGTTGACTGGTAATATTCTTGTATATTTGAGGGGTGAAGGATTTTGACTGCTTTAGCTGATGGATTCTTTAAACTTATTTTGAAATTCATTATTTTTTCCACTTTTATAACCTGTAAGGTTACTACAAACTCTGCTTATTATGGGATGAACACAAGTTAAACTTTATTCTTTTGTTAGTTGATGTCACTTGCCAAGGAAGAGGCTGTTTTCCTCCACTGCCTGCCACGGAAACCTCACGAGGTGAGCGATGAAGTGTTTCTTTCTGACAAGTCATTGGTTTGGCAGGAGGCAGAAAACAGGAAGTGGACTATTATGGTAAGTTGGATCAGTTAGTTGGACCACTGCTTATGGAAGTCTTATTTTCTTGTGATTAAGAACTTTCTTCATTATGTAGAGGTAACGATGGCCAATAGTGGTCTTATCAGGCTGCATATTACATACCTAAAGCCTCTGATTTGTAGTAGGTGTAAGTGCAAAGTCTTTTGCACAAAAATGATTTTAATATTTCCATATAAATGAGAAGAGGGACACATGGTGTGCTGGACACTGTGTCAAGAGGTCAGGGTTCGAGACCTGGTTGAGTCAATGTGTTATGTTATGTTGCTTCTCTCCACCCAGGAATAAACGAAGGTACCAGCAAATTGTCAGGGAAGCCTGATGAAATGCTGGGGGTAACCTTGCAATGGACTAGCAAGCCCTCCGGGGGGAAGGGTAGTGATACTCCAAACAGGAGTCATTTTTTTACAAGAAAGGTCAAATGCACTTAGCCTGGTATCAAACTTTAAGGGTTTTTGAAACTCTTAAATGATGGAGAGACACTAATGCCTTGTAATGCTGGATTATTGTCAACACCAAATTGAGGATTTTGCTAAATTAGGGGAAATGCATCATAGGTCATTAACTGTGGTTCTTTGTGTCTCTTCCTTAGGCTGTGATGACATGTCTGATGAATGAGTATACCCCTATTTCTCCTATGCCAACTTTTGGAGGCAGTGATGATGGAGTCTAGGGGATTTTTATGTGTAGCAATGATAATTACCTCTGTCAGAGATAATGAAAGTATATTATTATTATTATTATTATTATTATTAGTTTTTGGTTTGCCTGTTGGTGTATTTTCAACATTTACCTTCAGTCTTCCTAACCTCCAACAACTATTGGTAAAACAAATTCATAAAATAAGTTCAAGTGCTTTTTGAACATATGAAAAAATGTGCTCTATAGTTCACAGTACTTCTTCAACCTGGATATGTGGTCCATAAAAGAAGGATGTTTTAGTTAGTGATGCTGGTAGGCATTTCCATTTGTGACAAAGGAATATTAGTATATTGGATGTACTCCAATCAGGTGAATGGAAGTACAATTCAATTAAAAGTAATAACATGCATTTTGATTATAACTTACATCTTGAGTAATCAGCTTATGTGGTAGTTACATTTAGTTTGGTGTGTTAGATGATACTAGAAGTTTGTCTGTGATTAAGTCACTGTAATGTGTTATTAGAAACTGCATTATTTTGGATATGAAATCAAATGAATATACTTGTAATGAGAATGTGCCCCTCCAAAAAAGTGTTACTGTGACAATTCTTTTTTAGTGCAGTGACATGTTAGGTTGGCAATGCACCTCAACTGATTTTCCAGGAAAGAAGAACCACTTCTCTTCATTTCCTCTTAGCATGAATGGGAAGTGTGAATATACAGACTAAAGCAAGGGTTGTGAGATAGACATACAACCATGCAGCATCTGTAGTTAAGATAAATTTTAAGACCAATACCAGTTAATAAAAGTGTGAAAATAAAAAGCAAGACATTGGTTGTGAGGTGAACATCTGTAATTATGTAGCATTTGATGTGTATTTGAAACCGGTTGAAGACTAGTACCGATATTTCAATTTTATGTAACAATCCAAGTGGCCCTAGTGCTTAGTCAAATCTGTGTTCCCCATTCCATGCTTTACAAATGGTAAATGGTTTGAGCATCACAAACAGACTTGTCCCTCCCAGCACTGCATATGTATCCAAGGTTGTGGGCATGTCTGGGGACTTGCTGGAGAGTGATTTTATGTATCAAATGTCCTCTTGGCTGGACAAAAAAGAACTAAAGCCAAGATATATAGTTTGCATCCACCTGTTATAATTTTGGGAGACAAAAAATTGTTTCTAACAGAAACCTAGAGAAATAGGATCCTTCAAGGTGAAACTTAACAGAACAACTTTTGCATCAGACCATGGCATGACTTGAACTTCAATTGAAGCCAGTCTCAACAGAGATCATGTCATTGGAGTAGCAACTGTGACCATGACTACCTTACAGTAGACCAACAGTAAAAAACTATTATTAGTGGTATTTAAAATAGTTTTCTAGAAGTGTGACATCTGTTGTTAGAGTAGTTAATGAATGAAGGTTACATTTTCACCATATTTAACAGAAAGTGAGCAATCCGCACAAATGAGCAGCAAGTGATGTTCTTAAGCAAACCTCCTTCCATGTAAATTAGGCTTTTGTTTCTGCTCTTCATCTGCTTACCTCTTAAAATCCCAAAATCAAATTATAAATTCTTAACACTGCATGCCAAACTGCTCTTATAATTCTAGCTTTGAGAAATTTGGTGTCAAATTAACCCATATCCTCTAGTTCATAATTTCCTTACCTCTCATTACCTTCCTGTTTGTAAAGGATTCATTTTTTTTTGTGCAGGAAAGTTTGTCTTTAGTCACTCCTAGGAGTGAATTTGTGGACAGCATTAAGGGAGAATTGTGAGAAATCAGAGTGAGATATATCCCTTGATGTGCCTACTAACCATTAAATATATAATGATTAGTGATAAAAAATTTAAATAATTTCTAAACAGTTAAAAAAAAGCCCTCACCTTTGTAATTAAAAATCAAAATGCTGACAAAATGGAGTTAGGAAGTATTAAATTTCCTTACATATTGCCAATTAAATAATTTTTCCATTGCAGATTGAAGTTTTTAAGTGACCACTTAGATCAAAAACAGTAACATACTACCCTCAATTCCAAAACCAAAACTTTAATTATCAAGTACATTTTCAATGTTATTTGTCACGTCTTACAATATCTGGAAACCACTGTAAATCAACAGGCCATAACAGTACTAAAAAGAGTCACAATTTCCTTCAAATGTGAGACAACCTCTGATCAGTAGTTGTATTTCCTAATGATGTTCCTACTGATTTGAAAAACCTAAAATGATTGATTGCCTGAAATATTCTCAAGTGAGTGTAAACCAAAGCTGTTCAGGGTGTAAAGTTCTTGGAGAACCATGACATTCTTCATTAGTATTTGAATTAGTGCTCAAGACATGTATTTTGATTTCCACTAACAATGAAATGCATAAGATGAAATTCAAGGAAATCACACACTTAGCTGTAAAACAGCATAAAATACTAAGAGCTGGGTACAATTGTGAGATATTGACCAGTAAAATTACAAGTTATTGTCAGTGTGGATACCCTTAAAGCTTGGTTTACTCTCTGAAATGTTGATGTCAAGCTCGTTGTTTGATAATCTTAACTAAAATATACAGCAGGATTGTAAATGAGGGCCAGAGGCAGAGGAGCTTTGCCAGTTTCTACATGCATGGCTTTGTTGGCTACTCATGCTGTCACCTTAATATTCAGCCTAGAAAATATTATGAATCAGTAACTATTGATCTCCACTGCTCTCTGCTTGTCAGACACATTAGGTCACCTCAGAAATCAGAGCAAAACCCTGACTCTGCACTTGTCATAGGGTATCATGGCTTGATACATGCAAGGACTCCTACAATAAGTAATAAAATGGGGCTATTGATTTAGTTAGTTGATCATTACTTGAAGTTCATAATGGGTGTACTGCTTTGCTGTAAGTAGTGTCCATTGCTTTTCCTTTGGATAAATGCTCCAGTCTTGTGCTAATCCCTTCTACTGACAAAATGGTACATTACATGGGACCTGTAAAACAACACCCTCGACCCTGAGACAAACACAGATGGAACCTTCAATACTGAAACTTAATTCCATGTTTTAACTGTTGTTACACCGAACAAACGTTAAGACTGTAGATCCATACACGTGTAAGTACAGGTTATTGTTCACACACTGCTTAATTTAACAAGTCCCTTTTCACTGTCAGCTTGGAGACTGTCTTGTTCTTGTGCCTTGGGTAATAACTTGTTTTGTTCACCCTCTGCTCTACTGGCATCATGTCTGACACCATTTGTTGAGCCTAATTGTGTGGGGGACTGCAATAGAAAGAAACAGATTATATAACGCATGTACTTGAGAGTTTAGACACGTAGATTATGTACTTCATAGATATCTGAACGACATACGACATTGTTCAGTTGGTCAAAAGGCAATTCTAGCAGATACAAGCCAAAACAAAATTTAAAAAATCACACAAACAAAACTTATGATTGTGATCCTTCAGCATGATTTGAGTTAGTCAGGCCTTGCCATGACAAAGAAGATGAGGCTACTTAGAAATGCACCACAATGTGACCCTTGGCGATCCAGCCAGGGTTTTGGTTTATCTACACACTGCAGCTGCAGCAGCTCCAATTCAGCTGCAAAGAAGTAAAACAGATTTATCTATATCACTCACCATGGGTGCTGTTGTTGATGTCCTTACTGCCCCATACTTGTCTGATTCAGGAGGTTCAGGGATAATAACACCTCTTCTGTTTATTAAACTATCAAACAAAAGCAGCTGTGAGACTTGACCCAAAAACAACAACAATCCCAACAAAGATGTAAATTACAGCAAGTTGACTGTGTTTGATTCTTATAAAATATTATGCTTTTCTGTGATTTTTTGGTTTAGAGCAGTTGTCCCTTGGCCATAAGGATCAGAATCCATCAATTACAGCAGTTGAAAACCAGCCCATCACAACAGACATCATGCTCATTGTTGTCACTATTAACAATTATATTATAGTCATCATCATTCGCATAATCATAATTATAACCAATATCATTTTTGTGTGAAAGCTGCTGAACTACCGTACCTGGGCTGAAGTGGTCCACAAAGAACTTCAGCACAGTTTTTCAATACTGAGCCCCGACTATAAGGATTGACATTTCCTTGGCCACTTCGTGAGGAAAATGATCCTTTAATCTGTCAAATCAAGGGGAAGAAATAATTATAATTACTAACATAACATAAGCACAATTTAAAAAATCTCACTGTAGGATCTGGACTGTGCTCAAACAGAGCCCGAGTACCACAGGCAACTCTCTTCTGTACTTAGGCAACCTGGCACTAATTTTTCCCATTCCTCTAATCTCCAAGAGTGATTAGCATTGAATTTCTCCATACAACACTATCCCTAAATCACACATTAACATCACAAGAATAAATGAAATGATCACCAACTAAAGAAACTCTTGATTGTTAAACTCATTCTCCTTGTCAGCACCTCAGAAAATTTATGGAGAACAGTATGGAGATTATGATCATTGATGTTGGGGTCTAAAGGGTTAAAGAAACCCCTTACAATCTGGTCAACCAAGAGTTTTGAGACAAGAAGGTACTCTGTGCTTATTCTATGATAACAAATTTAAAGATGGGCCATAATAAGGGTATAACTTTGCACCTGTTTGATATTATTGATGAAGAACTTACATCTTCGTTTGTAGTTTGATTTGAGCCAACCAAATATGAATGAAAACCAGTCAATCCAACTATTGACCAGATTGAAAAAAAGCAAATAATAGCCTCTAAGATAGTACAAAAAGTTAAGGACACAATCAGTAATCATGAAAAATGTAACTGTGCAAGTACTGTGTGACATGATCTAATTATATGCTCAGTTATTTTTATCATTTTATGTTCCTATTGCTTGCTACAACACTTTTTCCCTTAACCTACTAAATTCAGTTTCCTGAAAATTTGCTTTGACTCTCTTTATTCAAGTATGTGGGTAGAAGAGTCATTTGAATTCAGTTGAATTAAAGAGTTTACTTGCTTGAGAAACTAGGTACGTCAAAGAATTTCAAGGAAAAATCAGTTAACAGTCTGTCTTCAGTAAGCATGAAGAGAGACAACTGCTAGTAGGATTATCCGGATTATCCTAACTTTCCTGACAGGTCACTTTCATTGCAATCCAATAATACTCTTTGGTGCAGAAAAGGACAGTGAGACAGCCATACAGTGGTCACTTTACACTACACCAAATAAATACAGTACAATTCACTAAAACTACCCTACCCTGATACAATGACTTGGCTAGCTATAGCCCCCCCCCCTTTTTTTTTTCTCCCAGGTGGCAGCATTTACCACTAAGCCGATACACTTCACATGTAATTTAAAGAACTTAAAATCATATGTTAAGATAGTTTCACTGAGTCATTTGAATATTTGAATTCATCTGAATATTTAATTCAAAGGATATCTAGCAGGAGACTTTTTCATTGCAGAAATAAATGAACTTTCCTCTCCTTGAGATACTGTAAAAGATATACAGACACTATTCAAGTAACATTCCAATGGATTTACTAGTTTGTAACAACTGTCAATGATAACTTTTGTTGTTAACCAGCAGCTCCTAAAAGGGATCTTTGGGATCTCTGGAGTCTTCTACCCTGCAGGAGCCTAAAGAAGACCAAAATGGCCACAGCAGAGAGAACTTGCTGATAAAAAGGGTTTACAAGTTAAATATTCTTTGCATCTTAAATATTACACTTCCCATCTGTCCCACTCACACTCCCAAAATGAAATTACCTTATTTTGCCCATCCCAGAAAAAGGAACATCCCTAGTAATTATCACTGGCAATCTCTTTTTTTGTACTCAAAGCAGACCTCACATGTTAAACTGAGACAGTTCTGGTACCATTATGGACCCACAACACATTTGATCTGTTCATGAAAATCTAGTAAATATTGAATGTCTCTTGCTGCAATCACATAAAATTCCATTAGGAGAATAGGAACAAAGGTGTAAGTAAAAATGGTCCAACTTACACAATGCAAGATGAGTTACAACAAAAGCAAAGAGATAGCAACAGTAGATTGAGAGAGAAACTAGAAACATGAAGAAAAACTTGTAGTTCCTTTTCCCTACACAGTTCCCAACCTAGAAGAAAATAATAAATGCAATCCAATCAAAACCAACCAGTAGTTACATTAAAACAAGTTCTAAACATTTCCTAATCATGTTGGGATTTAAAAGCTTGTACTTCCGCTGGAAACTGGATGCAAACCCATTACTAAAAACTTCCTCCCCTAAGCTCCTAGCAACTTGCTGGTACCCAATTACGCCCCTCAGTGAAGAGAGGCCAAAACATACAATACAGGCAAAAAAACAAAAAAAAAAATCACCTCCTATATAATTCTAGAAATTGAGTTATAATGCTTAGAAGGGTTGTGACCAAACAGTGGAATTGAAAAAAAAGGGCAGAAAAATGACCTTGCATTAATGTGTAACCTAAACTCACTTGAAAACTAACAAACTACTCACCCATGGACAGTGGTGGTCAAACCGCTCTAAAAAGAAGAAAACATAACATTATGCAGTTTAAACATGTTTATAAACCTAAGAAACAATCAACCAAAGCGTTGCTGTATTTAGAATCATGAAAATATTATGAAAGCTTAAGACCGTAACTGCACACTGGAAGCATAGATGCATTTCAAAAAATATATCTCCCAGAACCCCACGCATCTGGATTACGGCTACAAGAGAATATTCTCTACATCTGCATTAAAAACATCTTAGGCAATAGGGAAAACTCCCTTAAAAATTCTTTCTTGTACATATAGCTGAAGAATTTTCCAGGGTCTGATGCCAGCTGAAAACCTTGAAAGCCTCAAAAAGATTGCCACAACCAAACTTCCACTGATTGATTTCTACTCACCTACGCAGTTGTCACACATACTGCAGTGTGATGCTCTAGGAGGTCTAAATATCTTGCAGGTAAAACAAAATTTAAGTTTAACAGTTTGTCCATTTATTGAGATCTCCTTCACTCTGGGAGGAGGCCTATATGTTTGAGAATCTTGATTTGGAGTTTCTGAAAGAAGAAAAGACAAGCAAAACTATGTCAAGCTGGTTTCAATGAAATTTGATCCAAGATAGGCAAAAATGACTTGAAATTTTCCCAATATGTTCACACATTTGTTTACCCAATCAACCAAGCTTGTTTATTTCCCGAGGTTTTCCTAGCTGATCTTTTAAGGTCTTTCCTCTGAACTCTATAAATCCACGCAAAATCTAAGATGTCGTATTTTTGTGAAAAAGATCTCTGTATGGAGTCTGATTTTCTCCCTTTACAAGCATCCCAGTTTTGTAACTCACATGAATAAAGAGAGAATGAGACTTTATCTGGGTAACTGGACTGAAAATTCTGCTATCAATAACAACAACCAGGCTGAGATCTCAACAATACAGCATGACAGAATATTCCCATATGAATGGATGGCAAAATTTACTCCACTAACCAGGCAAACTTGATAAACTGGCACATGAGAGGAGAACCTACTGGTAATAATGATGCAAAACTTTCAAGATTTCATAGAAATGGGAGTAACCCAATACCTTTCTTCTTCTTAAAACTTAGGCTAATTATGAGCACTCAAGCTGACTATCTTCGGTACAATAGTAATTTGATTGACTTTACTTCTTTTCTCACCTAAAGTTTTTTCAATATAAGCTGCCTCTTCGGTTGATGCTCGAGGTACTATACCAGGATCACTGAAAGCTGTGCGAAGTAGTGTTGACATGACAAAGATAAATAACCATGCTGCAATGAATGGGACAGCTGGAGAAACATGCATATACAAGTAACGAGAGCTGCAAAGTAAAAAGACAAGGGGGAAAGATTCATAAAAATTAATTCAATTCAACTCTACACAGACTAACCTCTGTGAATTACACTAACAAATTATCATACTGGTAACTACTGACAGGAAAACAATTATTTCAATGACAAAAATGTTTCTATTAACCTTTACAACCCCAGAAGTGACTAAGGAGAAAATTTTCATAACATTTCTGATATATTATCAAGTAGATAGGTGATAAGAAGAGAAAAAGATATCAACTAAAGAATGTTATTTCATTCAACAATCCTGATTTCATATTGTAGAGAATATGTGACTGACAGTAAAAATAATCAGCCCCTGAAAAAGTCATACATATATGTGATTCCTAAATGAACAAAATCAATTGTCATGAAAATAGCTGAACAGATAAGGTACCAGAGGAGCAGGAAACAACAGCATTGACAGACCATAAAACAATTTTCATAAGTTAAAATGCTCTTCAGACAAGACAGTATTTACAATGACAAACTAAACTCTTACTCTGAAAGAAATCATGCAGACCTACATGTACATGTACATGTACATGTATATACCAGTAATTGCTTTAAGTTTGTAGTTTCTTTCCAAAAACAATTACCAAATTTGGTCTTAAAAACTGATTTGCACATTGCGGCCAAAGCATAAAATTTATCAAATCACCATAAACAGAACAAAGTGAAAACATTTCTTTTCTTGTGGTTGTATTCTGGACAAATCCTATTCACTATGAGAAAAAAACTTAGTTTTACTATACTGCATAATTCAAAATTTCTGTAGTCACAAATATAGCAACAGTGTTAACATATTTGTAGTGTAGATGAATGTATTTGCTTTTGACAAATCCATGTCAATCTTTTTACAAACAATCACTTGATTAACAAATTCACCTTTTTGGAAAGAGTTCTTGTGCAAAATGCTACTGACTATTCCCATTTTAAACTTAAAAAGATAACATCTGTAATATTTACAATTGTATTGATAACAATAGCACTGCATAGAAAATAAACATTGTCTTGCTCACAAGCAAAGCTCTGACTTCCACCTCAGAGTTTCATTGGGCAAAAGAAGTCACATGTGGAATACCTTCCCACATATCAATCCCCCTCTAACAAGGTCTATGTACTTGGCAAGCCAAAAGCATTCCTCTTTCACATGCAGTAGAGCATGCAAAATTGGTGATTTTTTTTTTGTTCTTTGAGCAAATGTGTTTTAACCCAAAATGCATTCTTAAAGTCTTAAAACTTGTTAAGTTATGCGGCACTTAACCTCTTAATGACATTTCACAGAATTCTATTAAATTTTAGAGCATATACATGATGAAGACTGACACAAGAAAACTAAAATCAGACAACACCCCTACCCACTACCTCTCTGTATTCCTGAACAGTTTTTATTATGAGCCGAGGGTCAGAATGTACATATGATAAATTTACCCTCCATTTATTTTGCAAGACTTTTCGTTCCATGCAAATGTGTTTCTGTGGAATAATTCATCAAAAACCACTAAATGTTCCAGCTGTACAGTGAAAAATGGAGATACCATTCAATGCTACCATAAATATGAGCAGATTGCAAAATAGTAGCATCAGATTCATTGCTACAAGACAATTTTGTCTTAACATTTTTGGCTCTATGTGAAATTAGAAATTTAAGTAATTTATAAATCCAACACCAAATACAAAATTATTTCAATCTTCAAAAATTAATAAGATCGTAGGTTATCTTTTTCCAATACACTGTTGCAGCCACAGAGTAACTAAATGGACCTTTGTTTGGTCACAGGGTAATCAGTATAATTTATTTATTGTTCTAAAAATTATGCTCAGAAAATCGCATGCATACAATGTAGACGTTCCGGCTTACATCAGCTAGAGTCGAAAAAATTTCAAAAAAGAAAATAATTCGATATAGGAAAACCTAAATGGAGGCTGAAATAAAACGCAAGTGATTATGAACAAATGCAAAGCTAATTAGTGGGCAAAGATGCATTATTTACTTCATAGAGCAAACTACAAAACAAGTTGAATACCCTGAATACGGAAAATATTTTGCAAAACAGCTGAGAAAATTAAAATTGTTTGTATATCACTTTAGTACACAGGTGTAAAAAATTGTATACAACTGGAAAAACGATCGCTGTCTTGTTTAAGCTGCTGTCTGAGTGATCCACAGCGAAAAGATTAAAAGATTCGTTGTGTTTATATAATTTCCAACTTTTCGTTACATTTGAGAAATGACCTCATGATCGAAGTGAAGGAACGACTCAGCTCCATACTTACTCAAATGCAAAGAAAAGTCCACTGGTTACCACAATAAGCACCACGGTAAAATAAAATACGCCGTTATTTCTCGCCATTATAATCCTTCCATCGCAGTAAAACTTGTTTCTCCCTGGAAAAACTTCCCAATTGCGATTTGACATTATGGGTGTGTATTGCTTTACAGTCATGGAGGTTTTTGTCGTTCAGAACCGGCAAGGACAAACGCAGCTTCTCCGCAGGGCAAAATTAGTCATTACCAGCACTAGTCTCCGTGTGCCGAAGTACACGAACAAGCTCAACTGGTAAAATTCCACCTGAAACAACCCATTATTTGCTTGTCTTCATATCCAAGCGGAACGAAATGTCTTCGAGTATCAGGCGCCACACCGAGGATTAGGAGCGCATGCTTAAATGAGCCCGCGATTTAACATTCAAAATGGCGGACGAAAATACTAAGAAAATGCACGAGAACGGCGCTTCTCAAAACATGAAAGCGGGTGATGTTTTTGCAGGAGCTTTGTTGTTGACTGGTGTAACTTTTGCGTCGATGGCTAGTGGTTTTGGATATGCTATCGGACAAGCGCGAAGGAGAAGTCCAAGCTCTTTTGACCAACGTCAACAAGAAGGGGCGAAACTAGCCATGAGAGCTCTCGGATGGGGCACTGTCCTTGCCGTCAGTGGGGTCGGTCTTCTAATATTTGGAGTGAAGACTGCTCTTGGTGTTAAGGATGTAAGAATACGTAACACTTCTACGTTTTTTGTTTGTTTGTGTGTGTGTTTGTTTGTTTGTTGTTTTTTTTTTGTGGTGTGCGCTGTCCTTAGTGTTTAGTCATGATATAAGTTATTTTCTCAGTTTAGCTTTTCCTAACTTGGAGTTATCGTTTCGTGTCATGTTTTATTGTTTCTTAATTTCGGTCAGGTGCAGTGAGGCTGCAGGTATATGAGGAATGACTCTCCTCGTGACTCACTAGAGAAAATCACTCTAGTCTACAACTTATCATCACACCTGCACGTGATTTTTGTATTCAACAATGTGCAGTGGTAGCAGGGTTACTAAATTTTACTCAGTAGACTGATAGATTTTACTAAATAGACTGAAAGGAAAATTAATTGATCTTGAATATAAAAAGTTTATCCTTCTAAAATATTGATAGCTAGTTTTCAAGATTTAGTAGGATTTTTTGTCAACCTTATAGTCTAGAATTAAGAGAAAAATTTCTGCCTGACCTCTCACAGGCATTAATCTATTGGGGTTGTGTATTTGGTCATCCATGATTGGTTGAGGGCAGGGAATTAAATAAATATTTACCATGGCCCTACATGGATAAAAAAAACCGTTGATGTTCAATTATTAGCTTGGTGTTTATTGTGGTTGGAACCCCTTTTTGTCTCTTGGTGAATTCCAACCATCATTTCCTGTAAAGTTCACCATTGCACTTCAATTTCATAAAGGCAATACTGGGAAGGGTGGTTCCAAAGGAGCATGTAATCCACCTCTTTGTCAAGAAAAATTGATGATAGCTCATATACATGTGACATCTTTGCTAAAAAGTCACCCCTACTCCTTGTTTCCACCACATTATCCCCAAATTTTTGCTAAATTTCATGTGGATATTGTTTGATTTCTGACCCTTTTCTTCACAAGGAGAAAAAGAAACAATAATGACGAGGGTTCTCATGATTTCAGTGTTTTGAGAACTGATACTTTCAAAATAAACTTCACCAGCCCAGTACACCTTGAAAGGGAAACTTAGGTGAGGTGGTAATTGGGTAATCCCACTTGAATACGAATAAGGCTTATTACAATTCTAGTGAAACCACCTAGCATACCCGTAGTGCCAGTGAGATACTGGTGCAAATCTTTCCTCTGCTAAAAAATCCCCCCAGCATCTTGTAAAAGAATATTTCTCAAACTTTAATTCGATTTGTTTTATAGGCGAAAGAATTTGGTCTCAAAATGAAGAGTATTTTTCCCACAAAGGATGGAAAGTTGGTTTCATACTTTGAGCCCTGGAGAATTCCTAGAAACAAGGGTAAAGGGAACAGCGAGGAGTGGTGGTCTTCAGAGACTCAAAACACCACAAAAGAGAGAAGATAATTATGGTTGCTGTACATTCTGAAATTAACAACAAACTCCCTCAGGATGACATACTGGCATAGCAACTTTGCTACATGTGTAAAAGAAAGCACAACAAAAAGTGACTTCAGAAGAAACCAAATAACATTGAAACAATGGCCAAGAAGACATCAAAAAGAAATTTTGTCTATAAAACAATTGACACTCTGGTCAGGGTTAACATGGTGAAGTCTTTCTGGCCTAATTAGCATCTTGTTTTCCCATAATGAAGGAACTTGGGAGCATTACTGCTTCTTTTAAGCTGAGATGCTACTTTACTGATAAGCTGAGCTACTATCCATCATCTTAACCCCCACTCCATTTATTCTCTGGTTCAAAGAAGCAATGTGTATGCATTTAGAGAGTCATGTCCAAAGATCTTGAGACCACACTTAAGACCAGGCTCTTGACACCTTTCAACCTATTGTTTTGACTGCTGGGTCACCCCTAGTACCTGTCAATAATTTTCTGGCTTGAAATATAGGACAATAATGACTCCCTGGCAACAAGTGTCAATTGAATATGAATGTTCAAAACTTGTGATCAGTACCGCACAATAAATACCGTGTTTGGAGATTTATTTATATGATCTGTGAACAGAGCCTCATACTCTATAAAAATGATGAACATAAGCAAGTCATGAAAAGATGGCATTGTTTCATGGATTGTTTCCACTTCCCAAGCTGTGTTGTTTCTAGCAAAATGACTCAAATATCTCCATATCCAAATGGTGCATATGACTCATCAAAACATAGAAATGATGTAAACAAAACCTTTATTTTTTAATACACAATTTACATTTAATTCACCATTACAACACCTGCATGTATTATTCTATGCCTTGTGAGATACCAAAACCATATGTATAAATATACCATCCTTAAAAGACACTTGCTAATTTTAAATACTAATGATACACATGAGAAACAATTAATTCAATACCTATTACTTGTCTTACTAACTCCAAATTAGAAAAATCCACAGTTGCTGCCCATTTTCATGTCTATTAATATTTTACAATTCAGGCACAGCTACCCCATTGCAACTACCCTGATCTACACAAAATTTGAATGATCAAAAATGCTAAATATTTTCATTGAATAATTTAATTACAGGCTGCTTGAGCAGTAGCATATCTAAATATATATAGATAAAACCTGATTTTCCCTATGAGTTATTACCAGTTGGATTAGAAATGAATTACACTAAAAATTAATGGGTAAAATAGTGATCTGATGTGTAGACTGATGACAAAAACTGACCAACCAAAATGAAAAAATAATTTTTTCCCGGGTTAACTCCCAAAGTGAGGCTCAGATTAAGTAAATTCAATATCTACAATGTCCTTATTCCAATCCACCATGACCTCAGTTTGCTTTATGTTCCACACTTGCTTGGATTTCACTTGATTCTTTTGATTTCTCAAGAGTATACCTGTAACTGAAAAGATAAGTGAAATATTAATGAATACAATCACACATTCTGATGTGATGACTTCACGCTTTTTCTTGCAAAAAAATTGGTGCTTGACCTCTTTGGGACACAAGCAATTGCATTCTATTGACAAGTGCTGCGACAAAGGACTTTTGTCTTTACCTACTAGGTGTAAAATAAAATCTCAGGGTTGGGAAAAATTGAGGAAGTTTATCCAAGAAAAGTTTGAAAAAAAATTTTAAGAATTTTCAGTCTGCTTAGCTTCTATGTGAAGCTGTGTAAACATGGAAACTATTTCTTTTAGAAATAAATATCACATCTGTCAGTGTTTTCACATTTTCAAAAACACACTGAAGACCACTGGGAATACACAGATGGTTGCAGCTATCCTTTACAACACAATAAAACAACACATACTATGCTATTCTACAAAGCTGATTTATTCCTGTGATTCCAAGACCAATGTTGACACTAAAGAGCAACCAGTTTTTGGGGATGATTACCAACGAGTACCTTGCCCATATCAATCCTGCAATAATTTAATAATAATAACAACATAAGTTAATTACAAACAATATTAACAGCAAACTAAAATAAAGTAAAACAAAACACTTACATTTGCCAAATCACCTCCCTGACCTACAGAATTTAGAATTAGAGTTTGATCCTAAAGTAACTAGTAAACATGCCAGATGACTTAGCAATTGACTCACTGACCAACTAAAAATCAATTTTTCTACCTAATGCTTGTAATTACACTCCCAGACATAATTAGTTGGGACACTTATCCACAAAAATTTATAAGGTGGTTAATTGCCAATTTTTCTGTGCTATCTCTCAGCACATCATTCAGAGGGGCAAGAGAGGCAGTACATGTCCCAACAAATGTGTCTGGGAGTGTGGCTTGTGCAGTTTATGCAGAATTTGAGGTTGCTACATCAGTTTAGTCTACCCAATGCTTTTACCTAGCTTGTAAAGTTCATACAGAATTTAAAATTGCTATGGTGAACTCATACAATATAGCAAACATGCATTCTACATCAATATACAACCAAAAATGTAAACTGATTTAAATTTATGCAGCCAGAGGAACAAGTATGCACACTGTTTGGACAATCCTATTCCACTACACAGAATGGAGAAACTGACAAAATACATTTAAACCAAAGGAGACCAAGTTCCCTTAGAACCTTAACCCTTTAACTCCCATGAGTGACCAAGAGAGGATTTCTCCTTACAGTGTTAATGCAATATAAAGCAGACAGGTGATGAGAATAAATAAGAATAAAGATTAGGAGATTTTTAGTTGATCCAATGACAAATTCTCCAAACTAACGTCATAAGAATTGTATGGCAGATACTAAGGAGAATATCTTATGAGATCTCGGGTAATTAGTTTTGAGAATTTGATGTAAGATCAAGACAAAAACTTCTACCAAATAAGTTTGGGTATTCTCATTACATGTTTGCTGAGTAATGTATAAATATTGTAGGGAGAAGTTACATGTTAACTCTTTAACTCCCAGAAGTGATTAACATGTAACTTCTCCCTTTAATACCTCTACCATGTCCAGCAAACAGGTTATGAGAATACTCAAACTTATCTAGTAGAAGTTGTTACCTTGAACTAGTGAGGAATATTAACAATCAGACCTTGGCAGTTTAAGGGTTAATATAACTTGCTGTTGCTTTCTTATCCCTGATATCAGAAAGTAAAACATTTACTCAGAGTTTGTGTTTGCTCCTGATGATGTTAAGTTTAAACTTAGGTTCAAGCTTCAAAGCTGGTTTGAATCAGGGCCTGTGTAAACAATAATATAAGCAAATCACAACACAGTAAAGGCTGCACAATCTCCTCAATTATTTTATGACCCTGGGTGTTGGGCCAGTCTGGGGCTTGAACCCTCAACCTCACACACAGCAGTGCAGCGCTGTACAACTTGAGCTAACCAAGTTGGGTTAAATGGGAATGGAATATTTGAACTCACCAGTAGCTGCCAAAGCTGTTGACTGTGATGGACTGAGTCTATCAGCTGGTCTTGCAAGATCAGCAATACCAGCAAATACAAGACCCTTCAACAAAAACAGTGCAACATCTTCAATAGGTGCAATAATTACATCACTTACATTATTAACTATTTCTCACTGAGAAAAAATTATGAATGGTACTATCTTAGCCTTTAACACCATAATATCAGTATGCATATTCTCCATGATGTTCTTTATACATTTCCAACAGTTCTGAAAAGAAGAATTAGTTCTACAATCAAGAACTTCTTTGGTTGGTAATCATTTCCTTTATTCTTGAGACCTTAATATTTGATTCAGGGTTGACACTTTTAGGAGAAATTACATGCTTTTCACTCTCGAGGGCTAAAGGATTAAGAAGACCTCCTTTTGACCTCCAAGTGAGAAAGTCATATTAGAACATGAGAAAGGCATCACTGATCACATGCCTGGTGTATACTTATATGAGAAGTTTTCAAACTACTGACTGATGAAAACTTGCATAGTATTATAAAAATTTTTCATGTTCTTACCCATTTAAAAGCTGGTGCCCAGAAAAAGATAGTTTGTGGCCCTGAAAAAAAAAGATATATAAATGCAGAATCAATTACATACCTCTGAAAAAAATTTAGTACTTACAAGAAAATGTACATAGTTCCATAGTTTTAATAACTTTCTAAAGGGCTGTGACTGTTGCAATGGCTGACTGGAACAATTTAGGGGCTACACAAGGTAAAATTTCCGCACAGCCCCATATTATTGTAAAACAAATCTGTTTTCCGAATGGCAATGTATTGTTTTTGTCATTGTTTTCTCTATCCAAGAACTGAATACATAATGTAGTATGGGGCTGTGCAGAAATTTTACCCTACACATACCTTACCGTAAAAATTGAGAAAAATCTTTAAAATACTTCAAAGCACAATTTTAAGGGTTATGTTGCAAACTTTAGTGAAATACTGATAATTAAAATAACTTGAAAAAGACCTTTGTTTCTCAGAGCCATGACATTCAAACTGCCTCACTGTACACATGTCTCAGTTTGGATTAACATGTGTTGCAGAAAGGCAGTGCATGCGAAACCCTCGTGCAAGGAGGGTCCGTTAACCAACCAATGTAACCAACCACTCCGGAAGAAAATAAGTAGTTCCAATTGTCTGGCTTCCTCGACCTCTCTTTCAGCCACTTAATTGGCATGAGATTTTAGAACCCTTGGCATATCGCTTACCATGGAAATTTTTTCGCCTTTAAAAACAGAATTACCGTACTCTTCGTGTGCAGGGTAGCGTCCCGTCATGCTCCGGCATGTCTTGCATGTACCGGTTAGTTAAACACTATCGCCCATTTCATGTTTGTATATTTCTGGTTCTGCCATTAAGTACGTATGTGGGGTACATCCCGAAACAAACAAACGCTTCAATTTGTAGACAAACCAAATTAGATAATCGATCAGGGATTCTCTTCTATTTAAAATTTATGCCGGTAGTCATATTGATCCCATTTCAAAATACGTCGTCGAAGCGCTAAAGTCCAGACATGTTTACGTCGCCGAAATCAGACGCCGTGTAAAATAGCGCAAAATCAAGAGAAAATACGCACCGGCAGGAGCTTTCCAAAATGGAACAAGCTTACGAGGTAATACCGCCTCGATCTGTCCAAGAAAACGACCCCAAACAACTTTAGCAGCACCCATTTCTTCACTAAGAAAATGTACTTCGAAAGAGACTAGTAGGGATTAAATAACCCAACCCGGTTGTGGTAATTTCTAACACAAAATATGATTGATTTCCGCGTATAAGAGAATGGGAATGGGTAATTTCTAACACAAAATATGATTGGTTTCTAGTCAAGAGAAATGACTAATTAGAATACTTGTAAGAAAATGCGATACTTAGCACTGTTTGTATTCAGCGGACACGCATCTACGCTTAAATTTTCTGTGTAAGCGTCACAGAAAATTACAGCTCATTTCTTCTAAGCATACACGACATCACAGATGATGTACAAAATGCTTCCCGCGCAAAACATAAATATTAATACTTTTTTGAAGGTCAAAACGAAATTCAAAATTTACTTTTTGTGTATCAGCACAAGTCTTTGTTGATTAATCTTACGACTGACGCACTACAAATGCCGCGTCTGATGAGAAGTGAACTAAATTAAAAGAAATATGTGTATAATAAATGCGTCCACGATGTAGAAATGCGTGAGACCTGGCTTGTAACTTTGTCCCAATGCACACACTTGATAGCTTCTTTGAGGAGTGTCCAGGCACGCGTGAGGTCAAGTAAGGGGCACGCGTGCGTAGAATAAAGCGGATGAAGTATAGGAAAAATTAACGCCAGGGGAGTATAGGGGTATTCAGAAGACCTGCATTTAGAACTTCATTGTTTATGTGAGCACCAACCATTGTCACCAAGGAGAGGGTATCAGTAAAAATTATGAAGGTGTCAGCATTGCATGTGACAATGTATTTCTGTGTCTCTTCGTAAGGGATCTAAGTTTTGTGCCAAAATGAATTTTGGACAGTTTTTTTTATAGTCAAAGAGGAAATTTAAAATGTTTCTGGTGTGTATCAGTACAGCCGAAAAAAATAAATGCGTCTTTATTGATTAATCTAACAGGTAAAAAGTGAACACTGAAGTTAAATTAAAGCCATAAATACGTCCAGAGTGGTAAAAAATACGTGATTCCTGGCGTGCAACATTGTCCTAATTTGATACACGCACTTGATAAAGGACAGCATATTTGAGAAGTATCCAAATCGTCCTTTTTGACGAGCCCAGGCAAACGACGCCGTCCGCCATTAAGACGTATGCTAATATTCTTCGCTGACATGATCAGTTCTTTGGATGATTCATTTCCCTTATTACCGACCGGAGACGCTCGATTGCACTCTTAGTCAGACGAACTTCCTCACCCTCCCCCCAACTCGATATTTAAAAACTCTCTACACCGACAATTTATACATATGGTCCAGATGGTCGACTGGTAATCGTGGGCGCGCAACGAGTGCAAGTGAGGTCATCGAGGTCGCGGGTTCGAATCATGCTATAGGAGTTATTCTTAAGCTAGCTTAGGGGCCGAATAATTTCTCCCCGAGTATGATTTGGAGCTGGCGGACAAGGAGTAACTCTCAAACTGGCTTGGGGGCCGAGTAACTCCTCTCCGTGAAAACTCCATTTTGTTTTTGCTGTATTTTCTACTTTTTCTCCTTATCATCATCATTTTTATCTCCCTTTTTCCATTTACTTTATAGCTCTAAGCAATTATCTTTTTGGACCACGGTAATATCATCTTTGCCAAGACCAATGTTTTCAATAATCTTATACGTTGTTTACCATTCGACAGGTGAAGGTCAACATAGCGATCACATTCGTTTAAATTTGGACCAACCATTAATTCATCGACCGAATTCGCTTGTCATCGTTGTACACTTTAATTCCACTTCAACAGGCCTCCATCTGAATGACTTGACGCGACCGAATAATCTCAAAGAAATGGTGATTTAAAGACAAATGACTTGGGTACATTAGACTGGTTTCCTAATAGCAAACCTTAAGTCTCCCAACTTTTTCAACTCCCAAATTTAGTTTCCGCAGATCATCACTTGATTTTAGGAAAACCAACTCTACACGTTTATTACGGAACTTCAGGACGCAGTTGACACCTCTTTGCCATTTAAATCCATCCTTGTACACCCAACTGACAGATCTTGGACCACAAAAAAAAACCAAAATGCTTATGAAGAGACGCCAAGCTGCTTCTATTCGTGATGGCAAAGATTCTGTTACCTTGAAACTTTTAAAGAACAGGGTCTAACGTGAGATCAAAGAAGCCAAGTATCACTTCTTTAATCACAAAGTCGCAGACCTTGGAAAAACAGACATAAAAAAGTAATGGAGGCAAATTGAATCTCAAACCGACCAAGAAATCTAACATGAATAGCTCCACCAAGTTCTGCACACAAAGTGTTGATATCTGGGTGCGTTGGTTTTTGAGCCACTACTATTTTTTATCATACAATTTCGGAACTTGCGCAGTTGGTTGCCCTTTTTATATTTCCTTTTTTCCGAAATAAGGTATTTTATTTTTCTCTCTTTTCATGTTATAATCATTTAAATCACCATTTATCGTTTTCGTTTTAAATTGTATGTTGTGTGGGTTTGTTTTGTTATTTTTTTTAAATCTGAATTATGCATGTTGAGCGACAGTTGCATAGCAAATTAATGTAAGGTAGTTTCAAATCGTTATGCATAAGTAATTAACCTTAAACAGTAGGAGTTAGTGTCTAAATATTTCTATCGACTTCTCCCTTTTTCCCCCGCTGAGCGTAGCTGGAGTTTTTAAAAGTAGGTCAGCAATCTGACTCAACCTCTTTCATTATTTTTCACCTTTTAGAATCCTATCCACGTTAATATATAGATTTAGCCAAGCCTACGAGTGGAATTCTAGCTAGTTTATTTTCCACCCTTCACTTTAATAAAACTCCTCAGCACTGGCTGTAGCGAAGTTTATTACACAGGTACTCGACGGGAGGCCTGAGTTTTAATTTGGGCTTTATTGGTGTGTATCAGTACAGTCGAAAACATTACAAGTCTTTATTGATTAATTTGACAAATGAAGTTCTGTAAAGGGCGCGTCAGGTAAAAAGTGAACACTGAAGTTAAAGTAAAGTCATAAATACGTCCATAGAGGTAAAAAAAGCGCGATTCCCGGCGGGCAACATTGTCCCAATTTGATACACGCACTTGATATAGGACAGCATCTTTGAGAGGTGTCCAAATCGGCCTTTATAACGAGTCCCGGCAAACGATGCCGTCCGTCCTTGGTGAAAACGCTTTGATCAGTTCTTTATTTGATTCATTTCCTTTATTCTTGACCGGAAACGCTTCATTGCACTCTAATTCAGACAAACTTTCTTACCCTCCCCCCCCCCCAACCCGATATTTAAAAACTCTCTACACCGACAATTGCGATGGAGCGGAAACGCTCGATTGCACTCTCAGTCAAACAAACTTCCTCACCCTCCCCCCCAGCCCGGTATTTGAAAACTCTCCATACCGACAACTTATATTAATTAATGATGCATATTCCGGATGGTCGACTGGTAATCGTGGGCGCGCAACGAGTGCAAGAGAGGTCATCGAGGTCGCGGGTTCGAATCACGCTATAGGAGTTATTCTTAATCTGGCTTGGGGGCCGAATAACTTCTCCCCGAGTATGATTTGGAGCTGGCGGACAAGGAGTAACTCTCAAACTGGCTTGGGGGCCGAGTAACTCCTCCCCGTGGAATTTCCATTTTGTTTTTGCTGTCTTTTCTACTTTCTCCCCTCGTTATCACCATCTTTTTTTATCCCTTTTATCCTTTTACTTTATAGTTCTGAGCAATTATCTTTTTGGACCACGGTAATATTTTTTCCTAATACGTTTTTGGTACGTGTCGGTTGTTTTTCCTATATCTTTTTCAATAGCCCTGTGTCTTATAAACAAATACTACAGCGATAACTAACAAAGTGGAAGAGCTGCGGAAGGTCACCGATTGCAACAACGCCCATGTTTTCATGCGTCTGAATGACTTGACGCGACCGAATAATGTCATTGAGGAAATGGTGAATTTTTAGACAAGGGACTTAGTAAATTAGACCGGTTTCTTACGAACAAACCTTAATTCTTCCAACTTTTTCAACTCCCAAATTTGAGCGAAACCAACTTTGACTACAAGTACACCTTCCCAGTGTCGTAAAGTGACGGCTAGAGACCTTAGGTACAGCGCATGGCGCACGTTTGGGCGTCGGCTAACAATGAAAGACTGGTCAGAGGTCCTCAATACTATTTCATGTCGGGAAATACTCTACAAGTTTATTATGGAACTTCAGAACGCAGTTGACACCTCTCTGCCATTTAAATCTATCCTTGTACACCCAACTGACAGACCTTGGCGGTTCCTTTTTTTTTGTCCCATTGAAATAAAGCTGGAGTTAAAAAGAGGACATAAAGTAAAAGAAATGTGCGATAAAAAAACGCGTCTCGTCTGCAGAGATTAAAATGCATGATTTCAGCCGTGTAAAGTTATCCCAATTGAATGCACACATTTGATATAGGATCGCTTCTTTGAGAGGTGTACGAATCGTCGTTTTAAGCGAGCCCGGGCAAACGAGACCGTCCGCTATTACAACAAATGCTAATATTCCTCGTCTACATCACTTCAATCACATTTTCCCTCCACTGCTCAACTGTGAACACAAAGCGTTGATATCTGGGTACGTTGGTTTTTGAGCCACTGCAGTATTTTTTCTCATACAATTTCGGAACTTGTACGGTTGGTTGCCTTTTTTCTATTTCTATTTTTCCGAAATAAGATATTTTATTTTTCTCTCTTCATGCCATAATTATCATTTATCATTTAAATCATCATTTATCTTTTTCTTTTTTAATTGTATGTTTTTTGGTTTGTTTTGTAATTTTTTGTACAATTTTCCATATCTGAATTATGCATGTTGAGCGACAGTTGCATAGCAAGTTAATGTAAGGTAGTTTCAAATCGTTATGCATAAGTAAATTTAACCTTAAGCAGTAGGAGCTAGTGTCTAAATGTTTCTATCGACGTCTCCTCTTTTTCCCCCGCTGAGTGTAGCTGGAGTTTCTTTCATTATTTTTCACCTTTTAGAATCCTATCCACGTTAATATATA